CTCTGAGAATGCCTACTGACTCCCTAAATGCCCCTGCTATCTCTCGGGCTAAAGCGCCCATATCGGGCTAGAGCGCCCATAGCCTGCTGGCCTACTGGCTCGGCCACATTGGCCTGGCCAATTCCCTCCTGAACTGCTGGAATCTCCTCTGGCACAGGCACCTCCTGCCTACCCGGCCTACCACGCCTACCGCGTCCTCGTCCTCGTCCTGACATCCTAATAAAGGAAACAAAGACGTTAGCACATTAATAAATGTGCCGAAGCTAAACACCCACATCCTAATGCATTGGACAGCAATTATTCATTCCACGTAAGCACATAATCACATAAGCACCTACGAATTTCATTCCTGGATAATGATACTCCCAATGCGTTACTATAGTTCCGGTTGGAAGCAGCAGTGAACAAGTGCCTTTCCAACAAGACTACTAGAAACTCAAGGGTCCAATCGACATCCTAGAAACTACATTCCATACCCACATAATCACATAAACATATAACTTTACACTAAATCTCTATCGAACGAGACGAACCCACTCACATAAACATGTTATCACATAAACATATAACTTTACACTAGGTCTCTATCAAACGAGACGAACCTACTGTGATACTAATCACTTCCCACGTACCCAAAGTATTCAAACCCGGTACGCTCTGATACCAAGTTGTAACGCCCTCAGAAATAACCCATTATATATATCATTGACATGCATTATTTAAAAAGAGCACTTTAATACTTCATTATAATATCCATCAGAGTCTTACTAAACAAAAGCATTACATGTAACATCAAAGTAAATGCCCTGCCGGCTTACATCTTTCCAAGCCAATACTTGGACACAAAAGTATGAGTTCTAACTCAAACATAAATAAAGCCCTAGGCTTGAGTGTTTACATGTACTAACAATGAAAAACAAATAACTAAAAATAGTCTTCAAAGTCCAAGTCCTTCCAAGCTAAGTCCTTGGAGGTAGCTTATCACCTGAACCTGAAAATGATGTTCCCATAAAGGGTGAGCCACAGCCCAGTAGAAATATACTAAACCAAATATAAGCAATGAATAAAGCAATAGCATTCAACAAATGGTTAACCAAGATAATCAATTACAACATTATCCAGTCTCATGACACTATTGTCAATGACACGTTCCACTTTCCAACATTATCAATATGGCTCAGAACCTGGCCAAACTTACAACAGTGAATCATATATATCATATTCACATTCTTCCAATATCAACAAACAAATGAGACTCAAACTCAAATCAAAACACTTCATACTTCCAACCCAACAGAGGTGCATCATCCACCTCGGCCCAACAAACAGGAGATCTACACGGTCGGCCATACAAGGCCTCAAATGGTGCCATACCGATACTAGACTGAAAACTGTTGTTGTAGGCAAACTCTACCAAGGGCAAGTGCCTCTCCCACGACCCACTAAAGTCAAGAA